TGTGTGTGTGTGTGTGTGTGTGTGTGTGTGTGTGTGTGTGTGTGTATGGCAGCTAGGTGGCATGGTCGACAGAGTGCTTAGACTGGAGTCAGGAAACCCTGAGTTCAAATCTTGCCTCAAACACTTACTGTGTCACCCTGGGCAAGTCCCTTAACTTTTGTTTGCCTCAGTTTCCTCATCAGTAAAATGGAGATCATAAAAAGTACCCACCTTTCAGGGTTGCTATGAGGATCAAGTGAGTTAATAATCTTAAAGAACTTAGCATATTGCTTGAAACATAGTAAGCACTACATAAATGTTAGCTATCATCATTATTATTAAACGTTTGAAAATATATATACAGGGTGATGTGGATATAGCTATAGAGGTACAGATTATAGATATATATATGGATATGGATAGATATGGAGACAGATATAGATAAAGATATGGATAGAAACAGATATATTTAACCCATGAAAAGCCAGCATGGTATAGTAGGTTAAGAGTTGGCCTCAGAGTCAGGAAGACCTGGGTTCAAGTCCTACTTTGCTTTTTCTTTGTTTTGCTAGAACTTAGCACAGTGCCTGACACATAAGTGCTCACTGAGGGTCTATTAATTGACTCATTAATTGATTGATATATACTGGCTATGTGAGCAGGGTAAACCACTCGACCTCTAGAGAGTGCCCAAAGCAGCTCCAAGATTATAGATTGCAGAGTAGCTGCTGGTCTGTGTGGGGAAGGAACGCCCTGCCTAATACGATCACAAGTCTGGATCAAAAACATGAAACACAACACCACTCTTGGAAGGAGGGAGGGTAGGTAGGTTGTATTCTCACTTCACAGATGAGAAGATAGATGTGAAATGGTTTACTCAGGGTCATACAACTAATAAGTGATAGAACCAAAGAATCATATCCAGACCATAGAATTGGGAAATCATAGATTTAGAGCTGGAGGGGACCCTAAAAGTCATCTGATTTAGTTTCCTTATTATACAGATGAAGTAACTGAGGCTCAAATCTAGGGATCATCCAATTCTACCAGGCTGCCTCCAGTCTTCAGACTTCAAGCTCAATGTCCACTCTACTATCACACATTTGAGTCTCTAACTACATAGATTCAATCATTGGAATATTCTCATAGGTTAAAAAAAAACTACAGTTTAATACTAATTCCTGTATTGTTGGGCAGGCCAATGACTGTTGGATTTTTTTCCCTTAGCCCATGGGGACTACAATCCATTTGATGGACCTGGAGGAATCCTGGCTCATGCATTTGCACCAGGAACAGGACTAGGAGGAGATGCTCATTTTGATAATGATGAACAATGGAGTGATGGCAGCAAAATAGGTAATGGTTTTCCATTTTCCTGCCTACCTAATGTAGAAAACCTGAAGGCAAAATGTTTCACTGGGTGCCTAGCATGTGCCATTTAAATTTGAAAATGGAAAGTTATGATATTAATAGACAGGTTAAACTTTAAGCTTCCTCATTTACACTATGACTAATGCGGGAGTGGGAGAGAGGTATCATACAACCTATTCCTGCAATATATCCTATATTACAATATATCCTACAATCCTACTATATATGTGTGTGTATATATATACATACATATATATATATATATACACATACATCCTATATACAATATATCCTACAATCATTTAAGTGCTTACAATGTGTCAGGAACTGGGCAAAGCACTGGGTGATACAAAGACAAAAAATGGTACAGTCTCTTGTCCTCAAGGTGCTCACTCTCTCTTAGATGAGTTGGGAGTGGGCTCTAACATGTAACAAATAAGAAGGGAGCTCAGTAGCAGGAACCTGGGGTTTGACATGTTCTAGGAAGTCTTAGCACTTCACAGTAGTGAAAGCCAGTAAAACTTCACTATGTAAACCCAGATCAAGAGAAATATAGAGCTGCTGTTCACTTTCCCCAACCTGCCCCACTGTTCAGGTGTCCCTGCATATCTAGTAATCGACTCTCAGACAAAGGCAAGGCAGTCTCAGTTCTGATGTCTCCCTTTAACCTTTAAATCTAACTGGCTCACACTTTGCCACAGGGTGAAAGGAAAGAAGTATTTTTATTAAATATCTTTCCTAAAAGCTGACTGAAATTTATTCAGGCAGTTCAGTTACCAAACTGAATGTTCTGGGTAACTCAACGTACTTAAACTTTTTTTTTCTAGCTTCCTGAAACAAGGCTGTTATGAGAAATAAATCAATTTGTTGTTACTGTTTAGTCATTTTTCAGTCGTTTCAGACTCTCCGTGACCCCATTTGGGGTTTTCTTGTCAAAGATACTGAAGTAGTTTGCCATTTCCTTCTCCAGCTCATTTTTCAGATGAGGAAAGTGAGTCAAACAGGGTTAGTGAGAAAAAACAAAAAACCCAAACAATGCTTACTGCAGCTCCCACTCCACCCCACTCTCCTTCAAATCCACCCTCAAACTCTATTAAAAATTTAAAAATATGTATTTATACTGCAAATAATTGAGAATGATATTTGAGATGTTCCTGAGTTGTAATAATTTAACATAACTCTGTAATTGTAATAATAATGATTTTGTAATAATGTAATGTCCCTTCTTTGATTGTAGGAATTAACTTTTTATTTACTGCTACTCATGAACTTGGCCATTCCTTGGGGCTAGGCCATTCTTCTAACCCTGAAGCTGTAATGTACCCTACCTATAGCTACAAAAACTCAGAGGACTTCAGTCTGTCACAGGATGATATCAGAGGGATTCAGAAACTTTATGGTAAGGTTCAGGATTTTCAACCCAAAATTTCACATTTGTCAGGATTTTAGAGCAATTTTCATGACAGGCTTGAAGAGGAAAAGCTGGGAAATTTGCATTCATTTGGAAAGTAAGCAATATAACCTGAAATTTTTTTTTCTTTTAATCATTGAGACCATAGATTTTATAACCTTTCAAAGCTATTTTCTTTTACATCGAGTGATTGATTCAGAATGCTTACTAAATGAATGTTTTGATCATTTAATGAGATTAAAATATCTCACTGATGAAATCAATAATAGCTCACCTTTACATAGAATTTTGCTTACAACACTGTAAGTAATGTCATTTTCACAGAAGCTCAGGGAAACTTCCTACCTTTCCAGTCCTCCTACACCATATTTTCCTCTGTGTACTCTGTGACCCAAGAACAAGGCCTCCTTGTTCTTCCTCACACACAACACCCCTTTGCTGACTCCAGGCATTTTATTAGTTGTTCTCCAACCCTAGAATGCTCTTCTTCCTCATCTCCTTCTCCTAGCTTCCCTGGCTTTATTCAAGTCTCAGCCAAAGTCCCACCTTCTTTCTTGGTCCTCTTTAATCTGAATGCCTTCCTTTGCAGATTATTTCTAATTTATCCTGTGTATAAGTTGTTTATACATAACTGTTTGCATGTTGTCTCCCCCATTAAACTAAGCTCAGGCACTGTTTTTTGCCTTTCTTTTTATCCCCTGCACTTAGCACAGTGCCAGATAGTAGGCGCCTAGTAAATGGTATTTGACCAACTGACTGACAGTTCCAAGTTACCTGGAAGTCACCTAGTCCCACCCATCCCTGCAGAAGGAATCCCCAACAAGTGCTCTTCCAGCCTCCACCTTCCTAGGCCTCCCTTGGCAGCCCATTCCAATTATGGATAGCTCTGTAGGGAAGCTTTTCATTCCTTCAGACTTAAATCTGCCTCTTTATAATCTTTCACCCATCATTCCTGGTCTTTGGCCCTCTGAAGCCAAGCTAAACAAGTCTTGATAGTCCTTCAAATATAACCATCAATTCTTTCCTCCATGCTAAATATCCCTAGTCCCTTCCACCAAGCGTGATCTAGAGGTCACTTACCATGTTGATCACCCTCCTCTGGATATGCTTCAATATGTCAATATTCTCCCTAAAAAGTAGTATCCAAAACTAAATACAATTTCAGTATGTCCTAACCAAAGCAGAATACAGCAGAATTTAACCTCCCTCATTCTAGACATAGTGCCTCCCAATTAGCCTAAAATAGCATTATCTCTTTTCACAGCTTTGTTGCCCCATTGAATCATATTGACCTTTTGTTGTTGTTGTTCAGTTGTTGTTTAGTTGTGTCCAGCTCTTAATGTCTCCATTTAGTGTTTTCTTGGCAGAGATACTGGAGTCATTTGTCATTTCTTTCTCCAGATGATTTTACACATGAGGAAACTAAGGCAAGCAAGGTTAAGTGAATTGCCCATGATCACACAGCTATTGTCTGAGGCCAGATTTGAACTCAGAAAGATGAGACTTCCTGACTCCAGGCCCAGCACTCTATTCACTACTTGACTTAGCTGCCCCTATTTAGCCCACTAAATCCCCCAGATCTTTTTCACACAAACTATTGCTTAGCCTTGCCTCATCTACCTTATTTACCTTATTGGCACCACTTCTTTGGTGCCAATTTAACTAGATGGTAATTCCGCATAACAAGATTTGCATTTCCACTGATTAAGAACCATGTCCTCTTTTCTCTCTATTTGCATATTCCCCTATTTAGAGTACCCAGAATTTATACAGTGACTGAAGTGGAGTTGGTTAATGCCAGCACACCCAGCCTTGCCTCCAAATCTGAATCCATCAAGTTTATGACAAGCTTTGTAGAATGCTCCCTTTCTTCTAGTACATTTGGTTAACCTCCTCAATAGTGGATCCAGAAGGCAGATTTATTTTAACCCAAATGAAGAACTCTACTTGTATCGACATTAAAGTTCATCCTAGGAGATTCAACCTCATTGCCTATCAAGATCCTTCTAGTCCTTGTGCTATTGTCCAAAGTGTTAGTTATCCCTCCCTGCTCTGTGACATCAGCAAATTGAATAACATGCCACCTAGGCCTCACCTCCAAGTCACTGATAGACAGTTGGAACAAAATAAGAAAAGATGCATGAATATTTCCACTAGAGAACTCTCTTCAAGTTGACATTCATCTCTTCATCCATCCATCAATGGGTTCAGTGATTCAAACATCTAAAAATTTACCAGACTACACTATCTCCGACCCTATGTCTCTTCAAATGTTATGCTGAAATATTATTATACTGTGTTTGCAACATTCCTCTGATATAATAAGAATAAGAATAACAAGCATTTGCATAATGCTATAAGGTTTATAAAGCACTTTACTAATGTGATTTCATTTGGTCTTCTCCATAACTCTGGGAAGTAGGTATTGTTATTATTCGTATTTTACAAATGAGAAAACTGAAGCAACAAAGGTTAAGAGACTTTCCCAGGCCCATATAGCTAGCACACATATGAATCAGGATTTGAATTCAGGTCTTCTTGGCTTCACTCTATCCACTGAGTCACCTAGCTGCCTCTTTAGATGTACCAGTCAGATTATTCTGTCAAAAAAGGGACTGGGGTGGGGGGGCAGCTAAGTGGCACAGTGGATAGAGCACTGCCCTGGAGTCAGGAGGACCTGAGTTCAAATTCAGCCTCAGACACATGACACTTACTAGCTGTATGACCCTGGGCAAGTCACTTAACCCCATTGCCCAGCCAAAAAAAAAATCTGATTATTCTTTCCCCCTTTTAGGGGCAGCTAGATGGTGCAGTAGATAGAACTCCGGCTTTGGAGTCAGGAGGACCTGGTTTCAAATACGGTCTCAGACACTTGACACTTGACACTTACTAGCTGTGTGACCCTGAGCAAGTCACTTAACCCTGATTGCCTCACCAAAAAAAAAAAAAAAAGGGACTGGGGTTACTCTGGCATGACCTTTCCTAGATAAAACCATTCTGGCTCTTAATGATCAGCCCTTCCTTTTCTAGATGCTAACAATAACAACAGCAACAATAATAGGAGCAGCAGCAAAAGCACATACATGCTAAAATTTTGCTTGGCAATGAAGGCAGCCAACCTCACTTTGCAAGTGAGGAAATTATGACTTAGATTAAGTAATTTACCCAATGTTACACAACTAGCAACTATTAGAGCTGTGACTTGAACCCAGATCTTCTGAGTCTTCATCCAGGTCGCTTTCCATTATCCCACATCGCCTCACCTTGTATTGTGCTTACGACAGACATATATTCCTCTACTAGCCTGCGAGACAGCAAGAAAGCAACAGTTTCTAAGCGCCTACTCTGCCCCGGGTATTGTGCCAAGAGCAGGGATACAAAGAAAGCCCAAAAAACAGTTCGTGAGCTCAATGAGCTCCCCCAAGGATAAGGAGACAACCCGCACACAACTATGTACAAACAGGATAGAGACAGAACACATAGGGATAGTCTCACAGGGAAGGCATTAAGAATAAAGAGGACAGGGAAAGGCTTCTAGCAGAAAGTGAGACTCCAGCCGAGACTTGACAGAAGCCTAGGATGTAAAGAGGCAGAGATGAGGAAGAAGAGAGTCTCGGCATGGGGAACAGCCAGTGAAAATGTTCACAGTTAGGAGATGGAGTGTCATGGTGGAGAACAATGAGGAAGCCAATGTTCTTGGACTGCAGAGTATGTAGAAGGGAGTAAGACACAGAAGACTGAAAAGGGAAGGAAGGAAGGGAGCAGGTTATACAGGGCTTTAATAGCCAAACAGAAAGTTTTATATTTGTTCCTGGAGGCAATAGGGAGCCACTGGATTTTACTAAACAGGGGTGTGGCATGTCCAAACAAGGAGCAGCCAGATGGTACAGTGGATAGAGCTACAGGCATGGGGAAATCAAGAAGACTCATTTTCTTGAGTTCAAATCCGGCCTCAGACACTTACTAGCTGTGTGACCCTGGGCAAGTCACTTAACCCTGTTTACCTCAGTTTCCTCATCTATAAAATGAGCTAGAGAAGGAAATGGCAAATCACTCCAGTATCTTTGCCAAGAAAACCCCAAATGGGGTCATAAAGAGTCAGACACAACTAAACAACAAATGTTCAAACAGCTTTTTAGAAAGATCAATTTGAGAGCTGAATAGAGGACAGTCTGGAGTAGAGAGAGACCTGAAACAGGAGGTGAAAATGACTGTGCCTACCTATACCCTAATTGTTCTCCTCTGTCCAGCTACTATAGAAAATTCAGCAGGGCTGGTTCCTCCAAAATGTTGGGTGAATGTATAGGCTATGGACAAGAGTCGGGTAGGATGGACAAGCATGGATGGTTTGCAATCAGAAAGAACATCTAAATCAGTGAAATCACAAATTCAATTAAGTTGAAATTTAAGAGTTTCGAGCCAGGACCTTTCTCTCCACTATCTACTCCCAAAGATTCTGTTCTAAATTGTTAGAAATGGACAAATTGCCAATTTTGTGGTGGGACATAAGTGTGTAGGCATAGGATGACTGACCATGTTGAGATTGGTGATGAGATAGATAGGCCTTTCAAAAAGCATATGTTTATGCTGTTGCCAGATTCACAACACTGAGCCAGATGAACCACAAGTCTCCCTGGTCTGAAAAACCCCTAGTTTTTGTCTTTCTGATTTTTTTTCTTTGTGTTTTATACAATGTCATAATATTCTCTTCTATTCTCTCAACAGGAAAGAGAGGATAATTTCAGAACGATTACCAACTTAATAGAAAAATACACATTCAACAGACTCTACTACATTCTTGCTCTATCAAAATGTTATTTTATCATGAAATCTTATAACAATTGAAATGCTTTTAAATGAATGACTTTATACAGAAATCAAGGAATAAGACATGAAAGCACAAGGTTTTATTTCATTAATTCATTGATTTTATTCAGCAAACATTCATTAAGGGCCTACTAGGAACACAGTTCACTAAGAACTTGAGCCACAGCCTGCCCACCTCATCAGGGATGACTGGACTCATGATTTTTATTCACGTTCACATTATCCTGTGATTGGTACCAACATCAGAGCTTCAGATTCTCAGATCCTTGTCATATTCAAAATAGAAGCAACACGACTACAACTGAGTTGGCTTGAGCCCAGAACAAGGGCAGGTTTGTCTTAGAACAGAATCCTACAGCTGAGGCCCTGGCCAGATAAGTGACTTGCTCTAAATCACACAGCAGTCTGGTTACAGAACTAGAAATAGACCTTAGGTGTCCCAAATCCTAGCCTCAATGTTGTTTCTACCACACTACTCCCCCACCTCACTTTCCTGAAAGCACAGGGGCACCCAATTCTCTGCCACATATGCATCTGCCAAATGGTGATATTGAACTCTGCCTGGGCAGGAATTCCAAATTTTTCTTCTGTTCCCAGAAAAATCTAGATCCTCCTCGTAAGTAATCACCAACTCACCATGGGCATATAACAGCTTTTGCCAAACAAGTAGAAAACAAAGTCAATTCCTTTCATTTTATAGCCATTGTCCCTGGAAACCTGACAAAAAAATTTATGTAGACTGACCAGTTTGGGGAGTTCTTTGTTAGTTTGTCACAGAAGCATGCCAGAGATCGATTAGATAATCCCTAATGCCCTTTTGTGCTTCCAGTGCCAGGTCCTATGAAGTATGATTGGAAGCCCCTAGACTATAATAAGTGGGGATATCAAAGTGGGCATCCATTGTGAGCGCTAAAAGTAACAGAATTCTAAGTACTACATAAAAGTTTTTAAGTTATTTAATTTGCATAAAAAAAAACCAGACATGAAAAAGAAGGGAAGAAGCAGGGCCAGATTTATTCATGGACTAGATGGTCACATTCTTGATTCTGGTATACTCCCCCAATATCAATCACCAGCGATTAATGTTCCATTTGTCAATGCCAGTAAATATCACTCTAGTATCATTTAACCAGTTGATAGCTCTTCAATAAGCAATTAACATCAATTAGCTTTTTTAAAGTTTTTTTATTCATTTTGAACTTAAATACAAAAAGACAAAAAAAAATTTCATTACACAGCACAACACAAAAAAAGAATTCAATATGAACCACAAATCTTTTTCACACTGTTTACTTTTTTAAAAAAAACTATGTAATAAATACTGCACATTGTTTTTAAAACTACTCTGCTTTTCTGTGCTTCCTTCTGAGTTTTCTTTTGTTCTCTACAGTGTGCTTTTTTTTTCCTCCCTCTGTTCCCACCGCACACTAGAAAATGCCACCATTTGGCACAGACATGTATGTATGTATGTGTACATATATGTGTGTATGTGTATTGTATATATACACACATTATACACATTATATATACATATATGTGTGTAGATGTGTGTGTGTATATACCTATATATGTAAAATCATACTATACATACTTCTATTTATCAGTTCTTTCCCTGGAGGTAGATAGCATCTTCCTTCATAGGTCCTTTGCAGTTGATTTGAGGATTTATAATACTCAAAATATAATTTATAATATTTATAATTTATATATTATAGATATAATTTATAATACTCAAATTATATAATGCTCACAGTATAATTTATAATACTCAAAATAGCTTAGTTGTTTACAGTTGTTCTTCGAACAATATTGCTGTTACCATATACAGCGTTCTTTCGGTTCCGTTTATTTTACTCTTCATTATTTCATGCAAGTCTTTCCATGTTTTTGTAAAATCAATCAGTTCATCACTTCTTATAGCACAGTAGTAGTATTTCATCATAATCATACACCACAACTTGTTTAGCCATTCCCCATCTGATGGGCATACCCTAAATTGCCAGTTATTTGCAACCACAAAGAGAGTTGCTATAAATATTTTAGAACATACAGGTTCTTTTCCTTCTTCCCTGATCACCTTGGGAAATAGACTTAATAGTGGTATTGCTGGATCAAAAGGTATACACAGTTTTATAACTTTCTGGGCACAATTCCAGATTGCTCTCCAAAATGATTGGATCGGTTCATAGTTCCACCGACAGTGTCCCAATTTTTCCACATCCCCTACAATATCTGTTGCTTTCCCTCTCTATCATTCTAGCTAGCCAACCTGAAAGGGGTGATACTTCAGAGTTGTTTTAATTTGCATTTTTCTAATCAAGAATGATTCAGAACATTTTTATATGGCTATAGATAGTTTTGATTTCTTCATTGAAAAACTGTTTGCTCATATCCTTTGACTATTTACCAATTAGGGAATGAAATAGTCTTATAAATTTGACAAAGTTCTCTATGCTTGAGATATGAAACCTCTATCTGAAAAACTGTCTATAAAATTTTCCCCCAATTTTCTGCTTTCTTTCTGATCTTGGCTACATTGGTTTTATTTGCACTACATCAATTAGCTCTTACAAAGGGATATTGACTGAGAAGACATGGCAAAAACAGAAACGAAAACACATCCCCGTTAAACCAGAGGCACATTCTCTTCTCTACCACCCTAGTCCCTAGGGAGAATGGATTTAGACATAAAATTCCTGCTACAAATATTCCTCTCACCATCAAGTTCACTTTCAGATTTGGTACAGCTGATATAAAAGTTATTCCCTACCTTGCAGGGGAAGATATATCAGCTATCAGGTTGATCTACTACAGAACTCAGTAGTTATCACCTCCATGCTGATTTCTCACTGAGCTTGGCTACTAGCAAACACATTTGGCTTTCCCAAACTTTCAAAGCTCACAAGGTCATTTCATCTCCAATACTCCTTAATTTACAATTAGGAAAAAAATAATAAACGTAACAGGTAGAGAAGAAACAGCAGGGCCATGCATTCCTAGCCACGTGGCAGCTTGGGTGAAGTGACATGATAGCCAACTGCTCTTCCCACCTACCCAAGGGATTATGGCTGTTCTAAGTCACTCAAAAGCTGCCAGGGAAAGACATAGCTCAAGTTTTTCCACCGGAGCCTTTGTAGACCCCTCTCCATTCTGGCCAATAGCCATCGAAAAGCTGCTCTTCACCACATATTACACATACAGGAAGCAGTCACTAAATACCGATGCATACCTGGAAGCAAGACCTTGGGTCTTCATTACTTACCATAATGTACTTCTGAAATCAGGCACCCAAACATCTATGTTGGTTGGCATCAGGCAGAGCATGCTGCACCTGCTTAAAAGCCTGGGCCCCTATTAGTCAGGACCCACTTACACTAACACATTATGCCCATTTGAACCTGGCAACAACTCTGTGACGTAGGTATATGGGTATTTTTATTCCCATTTTACAGATAAGAATATGCATAAATTCCCTAATTTATGAACACTTACCCTACAAATTACACACAATTGCTGAACTGCTGCTCCCCTGCTACCACAGCCCTGCTGTGCTTCTATTCATGGGGGTTCAGAGTTTGGCTTTAAATTAGTAATATAGATTAGCTATAATTTAGACTAAATAAGATTTTGTGGGCTGTTCTGGGAACATAATCATTATGTGTGACATTGTTTCAATGAGAAACTGAGTTCCAGCTTCCAAATAATTTATGTCCATAGATTAAGGATCTATGATTGTTTGTATGGACACTCCTACCTCCAACACATATCATAAACCTCTACAACTTGGTCAATAGTTGCAGAGTTGTCACAGAGGAAAAAATTTGTCACCCTGCAGCCAACATAGTGATGTACCATTTTGAATTTAGCAGGGCTGGCACTTAGATGGCACATAGACTGTTTATCCCATGTTCCAAATTCAAAACTTTTCATTTGGTGGGATCTCCAAAGTTTACAATCCTCTGGCATAGCCTTTGAGCACCCTGAGCTCCCTACATTTTACAATCAAGCTTTGGCGAAGGTGTTTAGTAGTGTTGGTAATAGAAATAAACTTTTGAAATGGAGCTTATTCTTACACTGGCCACACAAATAATATCAGTGTTTTATTGAAAATAGAATTTGTACTTTTAAATGCCTATACTAAAGTCCTATTTTAATGCCTTATGGTATTGAGGCAATTCTGGATTATATTCATGCACACATACATATGTGCATATATGTATTATATATGTGTTATGTATGTATACAATATAATACATGCACGCATATGTATATTACATTATTGATGGGTTTTTTTGAAGCATCACTATTTAATGATGATATTATCATTTCACAACAAACTCCTCCATGGACCTGTCCCTTATAACAAAAAAGTATAGTTAAGAAAAACAAACCAATGTAGAGGAAATAGATATGAAGTATATGAACCTCACCCTATGCCTGTAGTTCATCACCTCTCCGATGAAAGAAAGAAAGCCCATTTCTCTTTGAAGCCTGGGCTTCCAGACTTCAGAAGTTCCCCCTCTAGCTTCCAGACTTCAAAACCATGTCTTCACTGCTGTCTTATCCTGGAGCTTTTCTCGGTACCTGGAGCCTCCTTGGCCTGGAACATCCTACCACAACTGTGGCCTTCTCAACTGGAATATCCCTCTGCAAGGCCTGCACTCTTCTCCAGTTGTTGGGTTCCTCCTGCAGCCTCCATTTTGTGGAAGGGCCCAGGCCAGCCTTCATTCCCCTCCCAGCCCTTTCCTTGGCTTCCAAAATTAGAAATCATGTTCCCCACCGCCTTCCCCCCATCAGTTCCCTTTTGTGTATTGTCTTGAGATGAGAAACTGTATTTCTTTTTGCTTATATTTATGTTCCCAAGCATTTAGAATAATGGCTACAACAGAGAAAGTGATTAAAAAATGCTCATTTCCCACTTTTTTATCCCCTCAGTCTTTTGGAATCATGATTGTGCCCCTGTATTCTCATAGGCTACATACATGGAATTTAAGCTCTAGAACAGAGGTTTTTAACCTGAAGTCTACGGACCAAGAAAAGCTTTCTGTAGAAAGGGAGGTTTAATCTGAGTCCTGAAAGAATCCGGGAGACTCTGGAGGCAGAGATGAGGGGGTGGAATATTCCAGGCATAGGTAAGATCTAAGGAAAAGTTAGGTCATAGAATGCCATGTGCTAGGAACAGCAAGATCACTATCATTGGATCATAGAGTCCACAAAGGAGAGAAAAGTTTAAGAAGACTGGAAATATAAGAAGGGGTCAAGTAGAGAAGGCTTTCAATGCCAAACAGGGGATTTCATATTTGATCTCAATGTCAATAGAAAGTCACAAGGAAATATAGAAGAAAAAATGGTTAGTAGGAAATTGAAACCCAAGAAATGTGGAAAAATAGTATAAAATTACCTCAATGAACAGAAGGAGTTCAAATTACTACTCTCTAACAAAATACATCCCAGGATACTGAAAGAAACTACCAGTGCTATTGCAAGACTACTGCTAGTTATCTCTGAAAGTCATGGACAATAGGAAGAGCACTAATGGGCTGGAGAATGGTAATTGTCCTGATGGAAAGGTAAAGAAGGTGAATTCTTCCAACTGTAACCCAGTGAGCTTTATCTGATTCCTGATAAAATCCCAGAATGTATTATTGGAGGAATGATTTGCAAAAGCTTTAAAAATGAAACAATCATCACTACAAAACAATACAGGGTTTTTTTTCCCCCATGTAATAGCGGCAATATTCCCAGATTTGCCCTTCCTGGGCTGCATTAGACCAGTGCCAAGGTGGTTCCAATTTGCCAGAGATGGATGACAGCATAAGTGAGCTATAAATTTAGCATAAATTACTAGTCGGGGAAAAGAGTATACAAATATAGATATTTGGTCCAGAAGGTCTCATGAAGATGATGCTATGGTTATACTTGCAGAAGGAGTGAAATCTATATGTGAAACCCAAAGGGCTAGATCATAAACAGATGGAAGTACAGTTGAAAGTTTAGGATTTTCACCTGATTCCCATGCCAGCAGCATTCACGAATTTCATTTCATTGAACCAATTTTCTCTGTCCAAGTTGTCTTGCTAATGACTGGAGAAGAAAATGGATGGCCATTGAAGAGAAGCCAAAAGAGCAAGTTGCCAGTGCTCCAGTTTGAAAACACTCTATTGTTAATACAATGGCAGAAGATAAGGCTGTGCACTACATTGTGTATCAGACTGTCACTGATCCCA